AGAATTACGGTCTCTTCTTTCTACTTCCTACAAAATTTTGTGTCGAGATACTGAAAGTCACTGACGTATTCGAAGCTACTATGATAATAAATAAACTACATGTATTTATAGACACGGTAACACTACCAATACGTATTATTCTGTTCTAACGTATATAGGTACCAGTGTTAAATATATTAAGCCTCAAGGATTTACTTTACGGCCATACTGCAGAACGCTATAAATACACTTCAACTGCTGGAACCCTAACTAATATCTTACATACAAACACTTTAGTTTTAACCATACTGAGACTTTTATACTAATTAGAACCCCATGCGTCTTGTAATAAAAACAACACAATTATGTCTGCCATTTTTGTGTGTAACTGATGGTCGTAGAAGAACTGGGAAAATTTCATTGTTAATCCTAACTACATTAAATTAAATTATTTATGAGATAGCATGATTGCAAAAGAAATATAACATAAAACAAAATTCTCTACCAATCGTTAAAATTTCAATGCTTTATATCAAGCAAAGCGTTCTATGGGCAATGTTTAGTTTCTGTATACCAGTCCCTCGAAAGTACTCACGTGTATGGTCTGTATAAACTAAGAGATGGTTTCTGCCTGCCCACAAAAAGGTCACATTGGATGCGTGAACTTGCAACAAATACTTGCTTGTTTATGTCAGAGTTTCGCGCAAAATAATTAAAACAAAGATTATCTGTGTATAGTCCTTCCTAAGTACGGGCTGATAGACTAGATAGAAGTCTGATAGTTGACATCATCCTTCCCAATCTCTTAAGCTATTCTTGTCAAATCGAATAGTGGGATTTAACCATCGATCTTATAGTACATCCATAGTACCATTGACGGTTAAAGTTTGCGATCCTTGATGTGAAGATGATTTCCAGAATCTCACAAACATCAACAGTAGTCAGAATTTTTGTTTTAACGTGAACATTATTTTTATGTTGTATTATCAAGTTTTTCAGTAACTTCGTGTAGTGTATATTGAAGAAGACCAAGTATGAACATTATTTTATGTTGTATTATCAAGTTTTTCAGTAACTTCATGCGGTGTATATTGAAGAAGACCAAGCATGAACATCATTTTATGTTGTATTATCAAGTTTTTCAGCAACTTAATGCGGTGTATATTGAAGAAGACCAAGCATGAACATTATTTTTATGTTGTA